ACCACCACAACAACAACAACCACCACCACAAAGCAACATCAAAAGCAACCACCACAACAACAAAAACAACCACCACAACATCAACAACCACCAAAACGCAATATCAACAACATCAACATCAACATCAACATCAACAGGCAAGGCGATAAGAAAAGACGAGCGGGCTCTCTCTCACCCTCCAGTCGGTCTTGCTGCTGAAGGTCTGCTGCTCGTACTGGCTGGTTGTGGTGACCGTGATCTCGTCCCCGTGCACATTCGTCGTCTTGGTCGTGACTGCTGTCAGCTGGCTTTGCTCTCTCGCCTGTCGCACAACCACCACAACCACCACCACCATCACAGCAACAACACCACAACGATAGCAACAACGTTAACAACAACGGCATAGACGAGACAGGAAATTGGGTTAGAAATTGGGGTTACACAAAACCAGAGGAAGAACAATGATCGTCTTCAGAAGGGTCGATTATCTTAATTAGCACTTCTTGATTCGCACTCGAGGTCACTGAGTGGACTTGCCAATCGACCATAAATCATCAAGACCCCTTCTAGCCACGAAAAAACAAAAAAAAATGTAGTTCTTGAGAAGAAAGGCGGGTGACAGCGCCCCCTCGGGACCAACCACAAGGGTCGCCGAAAAAAAAAAAAGTCAGCCCACACCACAAAGCTTTTGCGAGCAAGACTGCATCCTTACAGGAACATTGGGGGCCCGCTCAGAAGCAGTAACGGTATGTGCCCGGCGAATCGACCGGCGTCATCCCTAACCCTACTGAGGGCCTCCCACTACCGTAGAAAGCCGTTTTGTTCTTCACCTGCTTCTCGATCTCGGCGATCTGCTGGCGCTGCAGCGACGGAGGGGCGATCTCCATGCCGAGGATGATGTCCCGAACCTCGGACTGCGTGAGGGAGGCCACGTTGACGTTGTTCTTCTTACCGTAGTCCGCCAGGATGAGGTCCTTCAGCGCCACCTCCACCTGGATGACGGGGAGAGGATGGCACAGGAGAGGACAGGATGGTAGGTACTACGCAACGCGATCTTTGACGGCTTGGTCGAGAGTAGGGACGCGATCGGCGTGGGCGTGGATGGAGCAGCGCCAACATGAAAAAAAGTAGAAAATATGGCTTCCTCCTTCGACAGATAAGAAAAGCAATCGCTTGAAAACATCTTCCTCCCGTGTGCGCACAACAGCTGGGACGAAAAACACACACGTTTGCCAGTTTTCTTGCTAGTTTCTGACGAGACAAAGACGAGACAAACGATCGCACAATAACACTCCCGTTCTTTGTCCACCACGCCAGCAATTGTTGTGCTCCATATGCATGTTCTAGAGTTTCCCACACAACGTTGACGACGCCGTGAATGTTACTCTTACCTTGATCCACTGCTCGTCGCTGAGGCTGGGCCAGACGTGGTGCTGCTGCGTCACCACGGTCTTGTCCGGCCGCAGGATCACCTTTGTCCGGTCCTGATAAGACACAACACAACAGTCAAGACCGAGAGGCAGTCGAGGCACGGACAGAGGCTGCAAGGTGACCCAAAACAAAATGACTCGACTTGGCAGCGCGACAGACACACGGAGAGACAGACAGGCAAGCACAGCAAGGGCAGAGACCAGAAGGTTACCAAAAACGGGACGACCCGACATAAATAGCACAGAGGGCTCTCGACTGTCAGCTCTCAATGGTGTGCCATCACAAGGCCTGCTCTCACTACCGCATCATGAGGCCATCAACACTCTAGCGTTTAAAACGTGTATATTGAAAAAAAAAAAAAAATCAAACCTGCTTGACGTGGAGAGCTGGCAGGATTACCACACCCTCTCTATACTTTTTATCAACATCGAAAAAATAAACATACAATCGGCGGCCCTCAATAACGGTACCCTCAATAGCGGCATGCCCTCTGTAGCGGCACCGAAATCGCTTGGAACAAATGCATTTCTCAGTACAATCCCTATTAGGAACAGCGGCAGCGGCACTGCCCTCTATAGCGGTACCAAATCCCTTGTCACTACCTACCGCTCTTGAAGACCGCCGACTGTATATTGTACCAATATAATAATAATAATAATAATAATAATAATAATAAAAACGAACCTGGTTGACGTGGAGAGCTCGGAGGATGAGGATGAGCCTCGAGAACGCCGTGTAGGAGGAGATGGTCTTGAGCCAGTCGTCGTAGATGTTGAACAGCACCATCTGCGGCTCGGTGGCCTTGAGGATCAGGTCCCCGAACTTCTCCACCTTGAGGCACGCCTGGAAGGGCAGCTGCAGCTCCGAGCCCTGTGTTTCGGGCGGTTGGCGTTTCACAATCGTTCCACACAAAATTGTCAAACACAAACTTTCGTCAGACCTCTCGCCACATGTATCGACTACATTTGCTCCTACGAAGCACAAAGTAGTATTTTTGTATATTTTGTGCAGTTTTTGCGTTTCATAAGCGTCTTCACGAGACAAGCGTCATCTTCAACAAAGCACAACATGACGAACTTTTCTCAGATCCCTCGCTATAGATGCGTCGACTATGGAGTTTATTGTGCGAGTTGACCGAGAAATACACGAGAGCTACACATCTTACATGCACATATGGGTTAGGGGTGTTGCTTGTGTTTTAGTTTTGGGTATATTATATTCTTCAGGTTTGGGGACGCAATAAATATACATACATACGCAAAAGTGAAGCGGCGCACTTCGAGCCTGTTGGTGTTGGTAGGCATACAAACTCCAATCGTTGCAAGACAATCGTGAAAGAAGACAAAAAAGTCATGATACCCGTCCTGCTCACGGGTGTTCTCTAGTTGAGAACCAATCATGTGCTGCATTCTCTGCATTTCTGCTCTCTTCTGCTACAAAGAGGAGAGGGTGAAAGGCTAGAAAAACAAACTCAGAGGCGAGCAAAACAAACACAACGCATCACCGCACGCGAGAAGGCAAGCGTTGTCGGCGTGAAGCGAAAAAACCCGACTGAACCTAACCAAACGAACAGCAAAAACCCGACTGCCAGCCATTCGCCTCAGAGAAACAAAAAACAACAAAAACGCCGCCATGAAGCGCGCGATACTCCGTCGATGACAATCTAATGTGTGGTACCGTTGTGTCTGCTGTTGTAGTTGTCTGTGTTGAGGAAGACACATAGTAGCGGGTCAGCAGAAGAGGGATGGCATGGTGACACGGAAACGATCATGCGGAGACAGATCGCGACGGAGGTGCGGTAAAGCCAGTCCTGTAGATGTAGATACCATGGTACATTACCTTGATGACGATGTTGGGGAAATCCAGCATGTGCACCTCCAGCGGGTCGAGCATTCCCTTCCGGGTCACGATGATCTGCTTAGGCTGCTCCTCCACAGGCATCGACCGGATCAGGGCCGCCACCTGTAGTTGTTGTAGTGATGTGGTGTGGCCAACAAAACCAGCAAAAACAAAAAAACAAAAAAAGGAAAACAGGCGGCGGACGGGGTATGGATGAGGGAGACAACACAGGTTAAGGCAATTTTGCAGAGCAACGACGTGGATGTGACAAAACAAACAATACAAAAAAAGGAAAAAAAAAAAAAAAAACGGCGGACGAGGTACGAATGAGGGAGACAAGACAGGGAACAACTTTTCAGACCAACGACAACAGCTTGCGTTCGGACGGGTGCCATAAACACACCCAAACACCCAAGCTCGATTCCTGGCACAGCAGTACCTCGGCCCTCAACAAGGCAGAGGCGCACACATCGACGATACCACCAAGGCACTTTCATCACGGTAGCAGATAACAACATCACGGTTCTCCCAAGCCACAGCCAACAAAGAGACACCCAAAACACCCCCGACACGCCCTTCGTGCAAACCAAGCATATGGCGACGCCATTTTCCCACAACACGGAAACATTACTTGGTTCTAAACTTGCGCGTGTGCCACTTCTTTTTTTTCCCGACGCACCTCTTCCGCGGTCTTCCACTTGGCGAGCTGCCCCAGGCGCTTCTGCCCCGCCCAAACGCTGGTGTGGATGATCTTGAGGAACAGCTGTCCCGTTCTCGGGTTGAAGATGAAGATAGCCCCGTTGATGGGCTTGGTCGTCAGGTTACCCTCGAACGTCTGCCGAAAAAAAAAACAACAACACACACACACACACCCGAGGGTCCGCAGAAAATGTTTGGTTGGGACCAAAAAACAATCAGGCAAACGCGGAATACCATGGATGGGGGTTTTGACGGTGTGTGACCAGACGCCTGTGCGGTTCATTCCGCACCGCATATCTCGCTGTCTTCTCCAGATATCCACTCCCCATGTGCTGCAAAGAAAGCGCCGAACATGTGCTGCAGCCTGTCCAAAAGCGTGGGCAGGCGTTTGTAACCCAGCACCAAAACATGCACGCACCTTGTGGATGGTGACTCGGTACACGTTGCTGTCGTCCACGAACCAGATGATCTGGTTGGAGAAGAGCTCTCCGTAGTTTTGGCTCGACAGGTACGGCTCGGTGGGCTCGGAGCTGATTTAGACGATCGTCACGTAGGGGAGCAATGACAAACACACGAGAAGGCGATCACAAAACAAAAAATAACGCTGAGAGAAAAAATATATATATACGATACCATGGTATCGAACAAATGAGGGAAAGGAGGGCGAAGCGGGTGGATCAATCGAATACAATGAACGGAACCAATAAACGGAAAACACGATGACTGCTCTTTCAGGGACCAGCGTGCGTCTCCATTCGCTCCTTATCCTTCCCGTACACAACTCTGCAGCAATCCTGACACGACTAGTCCAATTATCGAGTAGCATGCACCACATCGTGTAGAATGTTCGGGTATAGCACAGCGGTCACCACGTTTTACCCGGGGCACACGGGCGCGGCTGCTTTTTCACACGAGCTGTTTCTATGCCATCCCCCGCCGTCCCCTCGTTATGTTCGTACAAGTGCGGTTATAAAAGCGCCGCTGCTACAGATGATACCCCTTGCGTGTGTTGCACGCACACACATACGGTTGCCGCTGCAGCCATCCCATATATGTTGCACACAAACCGCTGCTGCTGCTGCCGCCACTGCTGTATTGGTGCATCCCGCTACGTCGCGTAAGAGACCCCCTACATGTTGCACACACACACGGCTGCTGATGTTGCTGCGGTAGTGGTGCATCTAAACATCCAATCGATACCAAAACGAAACACGCCAAGCGGTACGTAATCCATCCAGACCTAGCTGCAAGTACGAAAATCGTGGTAAAATACGTGCCTGTAAAGCTGCAGTCCCTTGCGGATGCGCTCGCGCAGCACGTACAGCGCGGGGTTGGCCTTGATGATCTTGGCCATGGCCTGCTGCACCAGAGGCTTGCACCCTGTGAAGTAACGCGAAATGACATGGCATGGCACCACATGCAGAACGAGCAAAAGAAAATGTCCACGACGAGACGAGGAAGATGAAATACAAAAAACTAAAACGAGGAGGAAGAGAAGCGGAGCAGATCTGCAGGTTTCAAGCACCTGGCAGCCGTTTCGGGGTAGGGCAGCGTAGGGTGCACAATGCTTTCGGGTTGGGAGAAGAAAACAGACTCCCTCCAAAGCCGAGAAAAGTAACAACCAGTTGGGACGACGTCAAACACATCAACTAGAACTATTTAGTACGACAACAAGCCACCACCGCCACCACTACCTCCCACAACAATAATATCAACAACAGCAGCAGCAGCAGCAGCAGCAGCAGCAGTAGCAGCAGAAGCAGCAGCAACACCGAAGCAGCGAAGCAGCAGCGAAGCAGCAACAACACCAATAGCAAGCACCTCCTACAACAACAACAACAACAACAACAACAACAACAACAACAACAGCAGCATTAACGTGCCTGGGAACCAGTTGCCGTAGCCCGAGTAGAGGTTGTAGGCGAGGTCGATGGCCACCAGGACCCCGCAGGGGGACGGGTAGATGGACATGTTGTCCGTGGTGTAGTCCAGGAACTTGGCGCGGGCGTACCGCTCCACGT